ATTTAAGCACACATAACATTGATATACAAAAACAAAAGCTGACACAAGCACTCAGTGCAGACTGTGAAGTTTTAAATTTTACATCCAGAAAGAGACCATTTTAAACCGAACATTTGAATGCTTTGTTCGTTTATAGGTATTAGAAGGGCAAAGACAGACATACAGACGTTAGGTAAGAGTGGAAAGCGTTTGAATTTCTGGGATAGCTAACTAAAACAACAATTGCTTAGTAGCTATATGCATCATCCTGAGTTTGAAAACCACTAGACAAGACTGCCCTTAATTGCTGCATATCCGGTTTTCTCGACAATTTTCCTAATGAAGTCAAAGACACAATTCATTTTTGAGAAGCTGCAATGATCAATTCTTTACCTATGTAGGCCCGTTGTTTTAGATCGATATGATTAGTTTATCTATTGTGATAAAGAGCTGGTAAAGTTGATTGTAAAATGGAGTGTGGTAAAATTCTCACAATCATTTTTAACAAGGTCTACCTTTATAACTTTGCCGAGGAAATCTTAGACAGCAGGCGAGTAATTTTGGGTTATCCATTTTAAAAATTTGAAGGTTTTAAGTGAGGTGATTAAAGGGACACGTTCTACTAAACATGGACAGCTCTATAGGAGTTAAAAAACACACACACATACACACACACAACATCGGTTGGGTCTCTAAGTGACCAAGTGGTATCAAGCGCTTTCATTTACCACTTCACTGCCATCTCACCTCTGTACGTCTGGGTTCCAGTCTCTAACTCGGCCTATATGGTTATGCTAGAAAGCTTGCCATTAGCTTCCCGTGGGTTGGTGGTTCTTCCCGGAATTTGTCCGGGTTCTAGCCGCCATGTATAGCCCATTCTTTGCTGAAAATGGCGTTAAGCCCACAACAACAATAACAGCAATAGTAAAGACAAAAAAGTAAGAGCGGTCAAAAGTATGTATTTAAAGAAAGAAAAAAAAATAAGATTCTTCGTTGAACAGTTTGGAACCGACTGAGAAAAAAAAATATGCTATGCACCAGAAATTCACATCGCGGCCCACGACAAATGCATCCGAGAACTGATGAGACTTAAAGAAAGAGACTCAAGTCCAGTTGTAACAGGCTTAGCGTTTGGCAAGGGCGATCGTTATAGACTACTCGGCCAGCTGTGGCCCCAAGACAAACTTAATACTATGCAGGCTTGAGGAACTGTACTCCTGCTGGTGACATCGTCAGCTAAACAATCGTTAATTTTATGGCAGAAATAGATGGTCCTATTGTCTGGGAATATTACTTTTGCCAAAAAAATGAGTAAATAACTACATAGAATCAACGAATAACGTCTTGTGCAATTCGCATAAGGTGTGAGCAGATACCGTCTGTCCTAGCTTATAAGACGATTCCAACTGCAAACTGCACAGACCCAGATCTGTCGGCGCATGATGTGCAGTTTTTAGTAGTAATCAGTGCAAAAAAGCAAACAACAAAACATCATGGACCCTGATCTGCATAAGCATTATGCTACGACAGATCTGGAACTTTGATTTTTGCAGTTTGACTCATCTTATGAGCAAGTATAGACGGTATACAACAGAATGTTTATTGGGGCCCCGAGTGGCCAAGTGTTCTAAAGCGCTGTCCGTTACGGATCACTGCCATCTCACCTCTGTCTGCGTGGGTTCGAGTCTAGGATTCGGCGAATGTGAATATGTGAGAAAGCTTGCCAGTAGCTTCTCGTGGGTCGGTGGTTCTTTCCGGTGATTTCCCGGTTTCTTCCTCCACCATTAATACTGGCCGCCATAAATAGCCTATCGTGTGCTGAAAAATGGCGATAAGCCCAAGAATAACGGAACGTTTATTATATAGACTGTTTCGGTAGTATCAGACGCTTATCAAAATTTAATGGAGCTATTCATTTTAGGACAGGTAAGTTAAAACGCATTCGAAGACATTGTTCGAAAATTCCAATACTATATATCAAAATGAAAATTGACTATTTTATTAGTGGTGGCAGTGATATTGTTGTAAAGATTGGCAGCAGTATCAGATACAAACTACAATTTACAGAAATCCTACGAGTCAAATAAACTTGGATTAAATCCCGCAAAGAGTAGTAAAAGATACTGCTGCAGTTTCTGACAGAAAGACAAGACATTGTAGAACACAAAAAAGAGACTCGAACGTGGATATGTGAGAAAGCTTGCCAGTAGCTGCTCGTGGGTCGGTGGTTCTTTCCACGGATTTCCGGATTTCTTCCTCCGCCATTAATGCAGGCCGCTATATGTAGCCTATCCTGTGCTGAAAAATGGCGTTAAGCCCCAGAACAACAACAACGACAACAACAACAAAGAAAACAGTAAGTAGAGCTTACGTAAAGAAAGAGCGTGAAGTCCTTTTCTCGTACGCATCGTCTATGTCATGATTCACTATCTGGATGCATGGACTGTCATAGTTTCCTTTTAAATAAGTTATGATTTTTTTTTTATCCTGTTTGGTGTCTAGTTTACAAATAACAAAATCACTAATACAAAAATAAAATAAAATAAAATAAAATAATTGCGCAGCTTTGAAAAAATGTACAGCTGTTTTCAAAAGCCAACTTATCTCGCCTTCAACACGTCTATCATATGCCGCTGCTTTTTGTCATAACTCAGGTGACTGACAATCTTTATCAAGGCTTTTTTTAAACATTGTCAACGAACGAATCATCTTTGCTACTTAATGGACGATCGCTACTCGTTTCTCCCTTACATTCTTCTAAACCCTTGTAGAAAATTGCTGTAGATACAACAAATAATTGATATAGATACAGCATACAATTTGTTAAAAACACAGTGTAAAGGGGCAAATTTCTGTCGATCTTTAAAAAGCACATTAATTAGGTGAATGATTTATTACAAAAAGAAGTGTTTCCTCCTAAAGCAATGCATTATCACAGTTTACGAAATTGAATTGTTATTTTTTTTTTCATGTACGGGGGCTCGTGTCATTCTGTTTATGTTCATATCTCTATCTATTCCACCTATAAATTCTATATTTTATATTAATATTTACTCGATCCGGGCAATAACACCCTCTAGATAACGATAAGCAAAGTCAACTATAGCCCGCTTCCAACGAAGTGGGGGCTACCAGGCACACGGCAATAAATTTGACGCGGATACAATAAGCAATTGCGGTAGATACATCATACAGTTTGCTATAGACAAAGCAAAAAAAAAAAAATGTTATAGACAAAGCGTACAATATACTATAGATACCGCATACAAATTGATACAGACAAAGCAAACAGTTGCTATAGACAAAGCAAATAATTGTTAAAGACAGCGTACAGTTTGCTATAGAAACAATTTGCATACAAGTTAGTACAGGTATATACACTCAGTTTGCTTTAAATATAGCAAACAATTCCTATGGATACAGCAAGCAATTTGCTGAGGTCAAGAATTCATTATCACCATGGCTACAAAATAAATTGTTACACCTTTTTTTTCCAACAAACCTTATCAGGCGTTTACCTCATGGCAATTTGTTTTTCTAACTTTTGAACAGACTGTTTTCAACATTTTCTCTAAAATTTCTCTAAATGTCTTACACATTAACTTAACTGTACCTTTTTAACTTTCCACTTTTAAACCTATTGTCAAATACACAATTTCTTTTGGGTCTGTCTCTTTGTAAGTATCCTTGTTTTAAGATCTCCGACCTATATTTCATACATTTCCACTTAGGATTTTATAGGCTGTATTTTCAAACTAATAACTACCACAGCATTTACTAAATCGTTTATTTTATTTTCAATTGGGCAGTAAATACATTTTCGTTAAATAGTGGAATCTCTACAAGTTGCATTCTTGCCCATTAATCATCTGTTAAGATTTTAATTTTCTTGCAGTCTGGTTTTACATAATACAGTTAATGTAAAAAAATAATAACGTTACGCTTGTTTTTCCAGCATGCTAAGGCCACCAATGCGTCGTCATTGGTGTGAAAATCTAGAATCTTCCTTTTCGTGAGACACCAGGCAAACGTCCAAAACCACTACAAAGCTTTATATATCCAGCAATCACCCAAGCCTCCGGAGTGGGGTCAGTCTCATCGGGGACCCGAAATTCCCATCAAAGAACTTTTTATATCGACAGGGAGGCTTGCTTGAGTTATGTTTTTTTATGGGGTGGGTGGCAGAATGTTGAGCAACGCCACTGCTGATTAATACCACTGATTACAAATCTACAGGATATTATTATTCATTGACATACATGTAGGTTTTCAACTGAATAATTTTATTATTAATGCTCATTGGATTTACTGCAATATAAGCACACAAAATTTTTTTTGTCTGCATGTCAATTTTGTGTTGTTGAACGAATGATATAAGGGAGGTAACTCAGTATACACAAGCAATAAATGCCAAACCAGTTGTAACCCTTGGACCTTTCAGCTGATTCAGGCCCAATTTTCTTTCAATAAAACATCACGTGAAACGCATCTAAATAATTTGAGAAAAGTGAAGAAAGTTTTATTTGATTCAGAAAGGTTACTCCTGTCAAATTATGAAGGTCTTTTAGATATGGATTAAAATGGAAAGCCGCAGGTACTCGACGGTGATCATAATTCTTCCCTATATTTTGTACTGAACGACAAATAGCGGCTGATAAAAGCTTTTGAATTTAGATCTCCGTCAAGACTACAATTAATGGTTCCATGCCATTTGCTGCTCATCCTACTAACGGCTACTTCGACAGTGTGTAATCAACATCTCCGTTTTTTTGTATATACGCCGATAATGTTAAAAGGGCGATAATACATTCAAGCCGATCACTGATGTATATGTGATGTGATATGATAATGATTTGTAACTTAGCTTTAACAATTTTTCAGTCATATCGCTACGATGTCTGCAGTGAGGCATTTTATAGTGATGTCTAGCACCACCAAGCCGACCAGTCCTAACACAAACGTCTGAATGCTGAGCGTTAAGCGAGGCAGCTGTTAGTACCATTTTTTGTAAGTCTTTGATATGCCTTGACCGGGGATTGAACCCACGACCACCACACACACACCCGCATCCGAGGTGGTCGCTTTAACCACTAGGCCACCGGAGCGGTTAGTGATGTGTAGTCCTGTAAAAGAACAACAAATATTCCAGGTCTAGTCGTGAGTTTGTTTCTTTAAATCTCTCTTCGAAATTCCAATAACGCTTCTGACATTTTTCATCGTCATCATCATTTGGTCGTGAGTTTGTTTCTTTAAATCTCTCTTCGAAATTCCAATAACGCTTCTGACATTTTGTATTGTCATCATATATATATATATATATATATATATATATATATATATATATATATATATATATATATATATATATATATATATATGACAGAAGTATTAATTTGAACACGTGACCGTGACATTGATCCCTCAGAAAGAAGAGAGCTTTGACTGCTTTGATAATCTTTAAACTATTACTTATTTTTCAGTCCATAGCAGTCATTTCGTACACTTGTGGTCTTTTGGCACTGTTCTATCTTGGGCAATTTCGTACACTTTTTACACTTAGTTGTTGTTGTTGTTGTTGTTCTGGGGCTTAACGCCATTTTCCAGCACACGACAGGCTATACATGGCGGACAATATTAATGGTGGAGGAAGAAACCGGGAATTCCACGAAAAGAACCACCGACCCACAAGAAGTTACTTGCAAGCTTTCTCACATATCCACATTCGCCGAATCTTAGGTTCGAACCTACGCAGACAGAGGTGAAATGGCAGTGATCCGTAACGGAGAACGCTTTAGACCACTCGGTCAATCGTGGCCCCTCTAACAAATGGTATTCCACGTCCAGAGTATTAAACAATTCTACGCTGACCCACGTTCCCGCCAAGACGCGTTTTTCCTGGCAGTTCTGACAAGGTTGGTTTTGGTTGCACGTTTCGACACAAGTACGGCACAAGGAAAACATTAGTTTTCCTTGGCAATGGTGAGGTAAAACGTGATGTTACAAGTTCGTGGAAAGAAAGACTTTGCACTTGATCAATCCTTCGTATTGTCGAATGTTGTCCACGTCGATATGTTCCGTCAGCAATTGCAGTTGCCCTGCGGTAAAGTGACAATATTTGCACAGGTAAGGATACAACAAACTCATATCCAAGTATTTGACTTCTTCTCATTACTCCTCGTCGGCGTGGTACAGAAACAGGTGTCATTCGTCCATCCTCGGTACAAACAATCCCACCGGTTCAGAGGGTTCACCAGCTTGTAACTTTCACGATGCGTTTAAACTCGAGATCAGTTTTTAAATGTTGATCGTACTCGTGTTCTCACATTTCCACCACTTGGTATCGTTAATGTTCTAACTTCAAGTGCGGATGACAAGTGACCTGGTAAAAGTTTTCTTTGGTACGTTGTAAAAGCTGATTTTTAATATTATGTTGAGGGTAACAAATGGTACATACATGAAAGAAGCAACTGTTAAACTCGTACACGATCTTGGTTTTTCTTCTCACCTATTCACCGAATACGCTCCGATGGCCTTTTCGCCTCATCCGTTTCGGGTATGTTGGATCCATTTGTATTCTTTGTCGCACAAGTAATGTAGCCAGCGTATGGCTTTGACCGAGTATTGACGTTTGACAAAGTTCATCGTTTGAGGGTGGATAACAGCCAGGGTGATTCCAGGCATAAATCATCTGCAGGAACATGTTTGGTCCTCGAAATATTTTTTTTCCTGTCCGCCAGGAATCTTGCTACAGTGAGGGCGATGCAAAAGATTTGTTCTTGGATGCACTTCTCGCACGCTCAGAGAGCAACGCAGAAATCAGGAATGTGAATACAGGTATCTTGCATGCATTCGATATCGAAAAAGATGAAATTGCTTTTTTTTCTGTGGTCATATTCTTTTTTATCCTGTTGCGGTTGGTATTTTTGAACGTAGCATTCGTGTTCCAAAACCACGATTTGGTGACAAGTGTGACATCGTTTCTTTCCTTTCCTGGACATAGGTGTGCCTTGGTACTTTTGGTACGTATGCCTTGTCCACAAGTAGTGCGCAATTCACTTGTTTTTGATCTTCGTCAAGACAGGGATTAAGAGGCCAAACATCATGTACATTTAAATCCTAAATATTTGTGCTGCTCTCGATCGTTAAAGTCACATTTCTCACAATAATACTTGTATCCAAGGAATCCAGTAATACTAGTGATGTCATCGAAATGTTCATAGTGATGATAGACGTGAATATATTCCTGTCTTTGAAATTATAGCCTCGAAACAACAGAGGTCTCCTCTCTTCCTGATGGTGTACTTTCAATGTGTAGCGTGGAGCCAAGACGTCTTGCAGTTTTTGCATTTCATGAATGCCACAGGCAGTGTCTTTAGATAGGCTAGCTTGTTGCAATAGGAGTTCTGCTTCTCTTCGTTGTTTGGTTCGATCCGATCGTTAAATAGTTTTCCAGGATCTTTTGCATTCTACCGTTTTGTTTTTGTCGGCATACGTTCGTCCCACAACTATGGCCCTGGGTAAACACATCTTTTTTGAGGGTTGTTAGTTTGATTGATGCTGCGCTTGATGATGAAAAGGTCATCCACCAAGATCACCTTTTGCGTTCGGTCTCTTTGGGAAGATAAACATGGTCCGTATACAGGTCGCATTTCCATCGGTGATGTGAAACTTGTGGGACTGTTGCACGTGTTTAATCTTATATATGACTTTGGAAGGTGGCATTTCGGAAAATCTGCTAAACTCCATCCAAACGGGGGACTTAAGACTCTCATGATAAATGGAGTGTGTCAAACGATCGTCTTCTTTGACTTTGCATTGTCGTTTTACAGCAGTTAACAAAGAATCCCATAAAACGGTGATAAACTCTTCTGCTTTCTCATGCGGTACGTTGGACTTAAAATCGTTAAACTTTACCGTGTACGTGTAGGCAATGGATTTAAATTTTCTAGGGGAGTGTTTATCCGTCTCTCGAATGAGGTAAAACTTTTCAGGTGTTACTTATGGTGAACTTTAATTTGACGAAGACTCTCTGAATCTGGATTCTGGCTCTCTCATATCATCGCTGTCATAAATTTGAGCCGTCCTTTCAGATACTGTGCGAGTTACTTTCTTCTCCTTTCTCCACGAGAAAGAAGAAGAAGGAGATGCAGAAAAGAAACAAAGTCTAGGAGAGAATGAGGATAGTGAAAGTCAAACGGTGACAGTACTCTTGGACATTTTGGCAGAGTTAAGGTGTGTAAAACAAATGTATGTAGAATAGTCTGTTAATTAGGGTTGGTATCTCAGGTGAAGTAGGTTGTGAACAGGGTTGGACTGCTTGGCTCGGGAAGTTTTTTCTCTTGGGTCGTCCTAAAGAAATCTGATACATTTGTTTAACACACCCCAACTCTTCATCTTAAGCTCAAAAAGTTAAATGACATTTTAAGGTACATGGTCCCAATGTAAGGCCAGGGTCTTTCCTATATAAAGGGTTAGCGTCTTCTCTCAAAGTATTCCTTTCACTCTCAATCCTACCAGAAAGTTCGAGATCCAACACAGATCGAACTTCTGATAAGATCTTTACGAGGTGTCACACGAACATTTAATTTAGAAAAGCCGACGAACTACTCCCCCTCCGTTCGAGATAAAAGTCAAGTTTCTTGCTATATCTGTCAAAAGATAGGGTATTGGTCTAGAGAATGTCCACAACTTTAAAACCAGACAGTCAATAAATGAGACAGATGTCAAGATACCCGTTATCAGTGTCAAGAGAAAGAACGTTGGTCTTCAGACTGCCCTAAGAAGCAACAGGAGCAGAAGTAAGAGAGGTATTCCAAACAGGAAGAAGAGGATGAACCCAGCCACTTCCAAAAAGGGAAGAAAAGAAAACGAAAAGAAAATAAGGATGAAGATGAAAAACCAGTGGCAGTGAAAAAATTCAAAAAAGGAGAGAGTGAATAGACAATGATAGGTTGTGAAATTGGAGTATAAATTTGTGTTAGAGAATATACCAGAACGAAAAATTTCAAGTGTCTCTTGGTTTTGCGTTTTATAATCGTAAGGACCTACATTCGCCCACTCACACACTTGAATCATGGCGGAAAAAGGGGATTTGAGTTTTAAATAATTTTTGGAAAACATCGATTAGACTCTTTTAGAGTGAGGTGGGCGGCCCTGAAAAGGACCGTTGGGTGTTTGTTCTTTTTTTGTTTCTTTGTTTTTAAAAAACAACGCAGGAACCGGAAATAACGAGCTTTAACTGCATTATCCCTTTGCCACGGCAAAGGCCTACTTCTTGGCATGCTACTGTCGGTGATTTGGTAGAGATTACCTGGGTAGGTATCTCAGGTTAAGTAGGTTGTGAACAGGGTTGGACTGCTTGGCTCGAAAAGTTTTTTCTCTTGGGTCGTATTAAAGAAGTCTGATACTTTTTTTACACACCTTAACTATGCCAAAATGTCCAAGAGTACCCAAGAGTACCGTCACCGTTTGACTTTCACAATCCTCTTTTCTCCTAGACCTTGTTTATTCTCTTCTTCTTCTTCATGTCGTTATATTTTTGCCTCTCCTAGTTGCTACTGCTGAACGAGAAAAGCTTGTTCTGTTCCTTTTGTTTCTTTTGCTGTTGCAAACATTTCTCCAATTCTTCTTTCTGTCTCCGTTTAAAACCTCGATGCACGGAAAGGAAGGAGAAGTGGTGAAGTAACTGGTACCGGAACAAATTTTTGTGAATAAAAGAGAAAATCCACTAAATCCCAATTAAAATCGTCCATTAGAATTTCATTTGAAAAGTTTGATCTAGGGTTTGCACACCTCTATTCTAGTGTATTAGTGTATTATTATCTCCTTGACTCTGGCTGGTCTAGGAGTTTATTTGTATATAGTTATCCTTGCCATGAATCAGTGGTGTCCAGTATTTGCTCTGTGTGTGTGTGTGTGTGTGTGTGTGTGTGTGTGTGTGTGTGTGTGTGTGTGTGTGTGTGTGTGTGTGTGTGCGTGCGTTCTATTTGTTTTGTATGTTATATTTTGCTTTGCTTTGCTTTGTAGAGACTGGCTGTAAAGGATCAAATTCATTGAGTTGTTATTTAATTAGTGGTTTCGTAATACTCGGGATGTTCGACGCTGACTTAGTTCTCTGTGCCGTGCTTCACGGTCTATGGAACCTATAATGTTCTTGTTGTTGTTCTGGGTCTAAACGCCATTTTTCAGCACAAGACAGGCTATACATGGCGGCCAGTAATAATGGTGGAGGATGAAACCGGAAAATCCGCGGAAAGAACCACCGACTCATGAGAAGCTACTGGCAAGTTTTCTTATATATCCACATTCGCCGAATCTTAGACTCGAAACCAAGCAGACAGACGTGAGATGGCAGTGATCAGTAACGGAGAGCGCTTTAGACCACTTGGCCACTCGGGGACCCTAACCATATAAGGTAATTTAGTGTATGTATGCGTAGAAAGGAAAAAAAGTAGAAAAGTTGAGGATAGTATCTGTATGTTAAATGCGTGCATGTTATGTATATTGTCTTTATGCCTCGTATTTTAGTTTATTCCGTGTGTGTGCTTTTGTAATGTTCTTGTTGCTGGTCCTGCTTTGGGGGAGATCCGGTACGACCCTTACTACCACACGTGTGTCACGTAGCATAGACACCGTACCATTTGTATTCTCCTTACTCCGCAAGGCCATATATTGTACATGTAATTGCTATTTTAGTGTAATACGAGGTTTTTGTTTAAAAATCTTTTTTGATCACAAGGACCTCTACGGTATATTGTTATTTAATGTAAATATTGTTAAAAAAAATATTCTCTTGCTACTTTCATTATAGGGTTAATAAAGGTTATTATTAATTCATTATATATCTTTTTTTTATCGATGTAATTTGTAAAAAAAAAGTTGTTTATTTTCTATTGTACCATATTTTTTAATAATGTTATTCTTTAGTTCTTGTCTTTATCCAATTTTCTGGCACCTACGTTAAAAATCATAAATCTTTTGAATCGACATGATTCCCGCATAGTCTACAACGCGATATAGAATTTATAATATGTATCTTAAATGCTGCCTCTCCTGTTAACCATTTTTTGTGCAGGTATAAAAAAAGACTACTTTGTACGGTGGCTGATATTATACCTGCCCAATTTGTCCATATTGCTGTCCAGTTTAGATTGGGATATCGATTATACGGTGGCTGATATTATACCTGCCCAATTTTTCCATATTGCTGTCCAGTTTAGATTGGGATATCGATTGTACGGTGGCTGGTATTATACCTGCCCAATTTTTCCATATTGCTGTCCAGTTTAGATTGGGATATCGATTGTACGGTGGCTGATATTATACCTGCCCAATTTTTCCATATTGCTGTCCAGTTTAGATTGGGATATCGATTGTACGGGAGCTGATATTATACCTGACCAATTTGTCCATATTGCTGTCCAGGTTAGATTGGGATATCGAAAGTCTACTTGATGTTCTTCTTTAGAGGCCATATCATTTAATACATTATACATGTTCTTTCTTTCATCCCATATTTTTGGGTTGTCTCTCTATTTATATATTAATTCATGGATTCTTCTACAGAATCCGGGTGGTTGTAGTAGTTTAATTAATTTATTATTTTTGTATATTGATGTGTTAAAACAACACAGAAAACCATACAGATAGATAAAGACAGCGACCCATGGTAATTTTAGAGAGTTGTTCAAAATTTAAGCCTATTTAATATAGTAGATTTTTGTTTTATACTTAAGTTGGTTATAGCTAACCCTCCTTTTTCTTTCCGTCTGAACCGGTGGCCAAGTAAGTTAGAGCGCCCGTCTCGTATGCGGGTGGTCGTGGGTTCGATCCCCAGTCGAGTCAAACCTAAGACTTACAAAAATGGTACTAACAGCTGCCATGCTTGGCGCTCAGCATTAAGAGGTTAGTGTTAGGACTGGAGAAAGTAACTGGGTGGGATATCATGCTACATGTCTGCGGCATGATGCCCCAGTGCTAGACATCACTATAAAACTGCCACACTGCAGACATCGTAGCGATATGACTGAAAAAATGTTAAAGCTACGTTAAAAATCATAATCACATCACATCGTTCGGTCTGCTTATGTTTTTTTTTCTTCTATAGATAATGGATTTTATTATTCCTAATAAAGCTCACTATATTCATTTCATAACGTTGATCAAGGCTTCTGTTAGTTGTACCGTTTTAATTATATAATTCAATTGACTGTACATGTAGGTTTTAGCAACCTGTATCTATTAAATTGATCTTCATGTGCGACCATATTTCTATTTGCGCTTCTATCTTAATTAGTAGCTCACCAGTGGTCTAAAGCGCTGTCCGTTACGGATCACTGCCATCTCACCTCTGTCTGCGTGGGTTCGAGTCTAAGATTCGGCGAATGTGGATATGTGAGAAAGCTTGCCAGTAGCTTCTCGTGGGTCGGTGGTTCTTTCCGGTGATTTACCGGTTTCTTCCTCCACCAATAATACTGGCTGCCATGATTAGCCTATCGTGTGCTGAAAAATGGCGTTAAGTCCAACAACAACAACAAAAAAAAGTAGCTCACGATAGTTTTTGTGAGCAGAGTTCTTCCCAAATATTATTCCTAATGCTTTAACTTGCTCCATAAGTAGATTGGGATTATTGGCGTGGTTCCTCTCAGATTAACATCATTTGAGGAACCCCCTAGTATCAAAAGTTAAAGATATTGTATGTGTTTGTGTTTTTTTCTTTCAATGTGTACGTGTTTCTTGTATTTATTTTTTTTAAGTTTGATTAATTTTGAATTAGAGTATGTACGCCATTCTAATTACTTTTTTCTTTAATATATCAAATTCTAGAGTTGTTTTAAATTTATAATTATAGTTGTTGTATAAAGAACTTATTTTTAATTCATGTTTAATTCATTAATAGTTTTTTTATTAAATAAATATACTGTTTCCTGCTTTTTGCATGGTTTACTTAATTAGGCAAGAGCAGCATTCACACTACGCTTTGGCGATCACGTGAACACTAGCTCAGGTGCCAGTAGTTTCTTGTCAAGGTTGTTTAATTCTAGTACTTGGTAGTTGTAGTTAACATTATATAAATTTAATAATTTAAATATAGAAGTTTCTAGCAATGAATTGTTATTTAATGTTAAATAAGGTTAAGAGGCTTTAGAAACAGTTTTTAGTGCATGTACAGAGGCAAAAGTAGTGTCAGCTCTATTCACGCAATATTATTCCGTGCGCACGCTCATGTCATTTCACGTGCTACACGTGCTCTGTCAATTCATCATCTGCATTCAAGTATTAACTAGTACATCGTAGCAAATATTTCCATTTGTAGTTTATCGGTATTCAAATATTAAATTACTACATGAATAACGTTGGTTGGTTGGTTAAATTTTTACGGCGCACCAACACAAAGAGGCCATTTAGCGCCATACAAAAGGTTATATCCTTCATTATGTACAAATGGTGAAAAGGTTCTGTATCGGCCATTGATACGAAAACAAATAGCTAAAGGTAAAACGATATAAATGGTAACGGTGATAAAAAATAAAGTTTCCCGATCAACGAGGATTGTAAATAATGTATGACAACGAAAAAATATGAAAGGTAATTAAAATCTAGCGACCGTACATATATAGAACATAAAAATGTTTAAGATGATAACATAAAAGTTATAACTTATGATATATGTTTACTTCCTTAAGGAACTCTATAACATAAGAAATACTAACTGTATCAAAGAGCTCCCTCATGTCTTGCACATTGTAATATTGATTACGTGTAGATTGGAGGTCGAAACACTCCACCATAAAGTGCTTAACTGTGAATGGTTCATTGCAAGATATGCATTCTGGTGGGTCTTCTCCTTTTAGTATGTAGGAGTGGGTTAAATAAATATGGCCGAATAACGATATTCTACGTATAATAAAAGCTCTATTTCGATTTTCTGTTACAGTTATTTCAAATCGTATCAAATGTTTCCGTTAACCAAAAACATGTCCATATTTGTTTCCAATTTGTCGAGATAGTAAGATCCCATCCTTTCTCCCTGATTTGTAACTTCCATCACATCACTGGGATCTCTGAAATCCACTTCACAGGAAGGAGTCTCAGTATCAAGTTTTCAGTTGATTCCATCTTTCCTGTCGAAGATGAAGCATATCCAAAGAGATTTTCTTTGGAAATTCTTTAATTGTCAACCAAGAGTTTCAGAATCAAAGTAGATTTTTGTTTTATACTTAAGTTGGTTATATAGCTAAGCCACCTTTTCTTTTTTTTTTGTTTATTTTTTTTTTGGGGGGGGGAAGGGGCACCCCCTACTTAACCGATAAAAAAAACTAAAAAGTTTCATACGTATTTGATTGCTACCTGATGCGTTGCTATGTTTTTTTTTCCAAAAAGAATTTAGATAAAAAAAATTTGTATTTTCTTTTCTTTCGGTCTACATATATGTTTTTATCTGTAGATAGCGGATTTTTTTTTATTCCAAAAAAGCTCACTATTTTCATTTCCATAATGTTAATCACGGCTTCTGTTAGTTGCACCGTGTTCATTATATAATTCAATTGCCTATACCTGTGTGTTTTAGCAACCTGTATACGGTCTCTTAAGTTGATCTTCATGTGCGACCAAAGTTTTATTTGCCCTTCTTTCTTAATTAGTAGCTCACGATAGTTTTTGTGAGGAGAATTCTTCTCAGATATTATTCCTAATGCTTTAACTTGCTCCGTAAGCATGGGGTGGGGGGCTGGATGGTTGCTACGTCAATTGCCTATTAAAATAAAATTCGTCGTGTCATGGCCAATTGCTGAACCAAAGACCTTTGCAAATTGAGTGAATTCATACTGCATATGTTTAAAGGATGATCCGTCTCTGGTAAAATTAGTACAGTCATCTGCGTATAATATAATTTTGAAATCTTATTTCAAATTTGGTATTTTTATTCCCAATCACATATAGCAGCACAGATAGGGGCCTGCCCTGTCTAACTGATCTTTTTATATTTATTTCTCCCGTAAGGACACCATTAACAATTATTCTAAACTTAATATTACTATACATGGCCTTAACCCAGTTAATAATATTTATGCCTAATCCACACTTTTCCAAAGTTTTAAAATAAAATCGTGCTATATTCGATCAAAACCTTTCTCCTGGTCGAATAGAAAAATGACTCACTTCTCCCCATTCGTATTTAAAAGGTCAGTTATATCCGATATTGACATAGTGTTATTTACGATGTTTCTCTCCAACAGCTTTAATTTATATTAATTATTTTATCTTGACAATTTCTTATTATATTAGTTATAATTTTGTTTAGAATTCCTTTAGTCATTATTTAGCTGTGTTATTGGTCTCCATTTTTTTTAAATTCGATTTTATCCTCTTTCCCTATATAGATTAAAGTAACGATCCCTTCCAGTAGACTTTTAGGCATTTCCACGTTAAATATGTTATTGCATAGTATTTCTAAAATATCTATTAGTTTATGTATAAATTTAATGTAAAAGTCTGATGTTATACCATCATATAATGAAGGATTTCCCTTTATCAAGACTGTGTATTGCTTGTAATATTTATTCTGCAATTATAAATTTGGCACAATTTTCTTCATCCGCTAATGGTATTTGTTTATGATCTGTTTCTCGTAAATAGTTTTTTATTTATATCCTCATTAATGTTTTAGGTAATATATATATATATATATATATATATATATATATATATATATATATATATATATATATAGTCATAATAATTTTTAATGCATAGTTATATATTTGTTTTATCCTTATAGAAAATATCGTTTAATTTAATAGACTATCTCTTTCCCCTTGCCTCTTTTAATTTCGATTCTTCTGTATAGTACCCTAACCTTTTTATATAAATGTTCAAATTTTCCTGGTTAAAAGTTTCCACTAAGAGTTATTTCTTTCTCCATTTTTCTATTGTTTGATTATTCTTTCTTCTGATTTTTCAATTGTTTCATTTTTTTATTAGTAAGTTCAAAATATTTTGCTTGAACCCATTGTTTGTGAAATTTTTTTTAACTAAAATAATTTGTTATACGTTTAATTTTCTTTTTAATCAATTCTCAATCATTCATTATATTCCAAATATGATTTTATTTTAATTTATTCAGGTGTGTGTGAACAGTACTGACATGCTCGTTGTCAAGCATGAGAGCACTGTTCATTTTCCACATACCCTGTCCCCACTTGTGTTTATGAAAATCTGGTCAAGGAAAACTGATTTATAGTCAGATATTTGTTCCTACATATAATTACACACTTTATGATTGCGTTGATTTGCCTTTCTAATACATAAAAGTATCTAAGCGGCTTTCTTTATTATCCTCATATTTATATGTATATTCCCAGTTTTTAAAGGCATCTGCTAAATTATTATTTTTATAAAAATATTCGGATCCATTTATGCATCTTTTTATCGGATTCCGTGAGTCTTTCGCTTTTATCTAAGTCATCCATTTTACCAATTAAAGCTTCCCCCCGAGTCTACATAGTATCGCTGAATATAGCGATTTGCATTATCAATAAGTTAATTTTCATTGGATTTATGCCTCCTGGCGGTACATGTATATTGAAAATATGCCATTTATTCAATTTTTAATGGACTAAGCGTCCTTTTAATTCCTCCGGTACTTTTAGATTTTCCAGGTTTAAGCCCTTGGCAGTCAGCCGAGCTATTGTTGCCACCCCAGTTTTACTTTCAGTTGGGTGGTTACTGGTAAAAACTAAAGCGTCTAGATCTAGCTTTTTTTCACCACATGCTCAGGCACTCCATCTGTTTCTTGTAATAGGATTATATCATACGTTTTAGTTTGTAATATAATTCTATCAATT